AATAAATTATTGTTAACATGATTGTAATATTACTGGACAGGTAAAATAAAAAGACATACAGTTGAACCTCTCTACAATGTGGCCACCTTGGGGCCGAAATAACTGGCCGTTGTAGAGAGGTGGCTGTTGCAGGGAGGTTTCAATCATCGGTGTACGGTTGGGATGAAAAATTCTGGCCTTTGTAGAGAGGTGGCTGTTATAGAGAGGTGGCTGTTAGGGGAGGTTCGACTGTATTATTGATTAATTAATTGTACATTATAGTAAAACAGTGGAAGACTCTTATCAGTTAGCTGATATTGAGAATTCATGCAGACCCTTGCCAGATGGGTAACATGGAATACTGGGCTATATTTTGTCCAAAAGGCTTTTTTGGTGGGCTTTATAGTTATCCTAGAGCCTCTCTATGGGTACCTGCAGACTTCAATTTCGTCACGCTTTTTTTAACGAATCGTCCATTTTTTTTTTAAACAAAATCGTCGTTTTCGTATTGGTAATTTTTGGTAACATGTTTCATGCATTTGATATTTTCTATCTGACCACGATAATTTGTAAATTGCTGCTTCAATCTCTGATATCATCGTTTTATAATGGCAATCTTCGCGACTTCGATTTCGTCGGAAATACCCATACAGAGTCTCATCTTAGGTGCATGCAAGAATACCGCAATAGTAAAACTCTCCAAACATTTTACAAAATGAAACACAAATCATTAGTACATGTAATACAGTCATCAAATGAATATCACAAGTCTCTGATAACATACTGTAACAACATAAAAATACAAAACATAAAACATAAAAATAAAAAAGTCCTTTCTAGATATTATTATTATTGTATCTCGTTATTATCGGAAGGATTTTTTGCTCTTGAGATTAGGTGGGCTTATTTTTGGGGTAGGGCCCCTTATTATTGTAGTTTTTTCTGGCCAAACTTATTAAGGACAGCTTCACTTGGGAAGTAAGGTATAAATTTATTGTTTATTGTAGGCATTAGAGCTTGCAGCAAAAGCGACTGAAGAATGTCAGTTTAAAGACTGGTGGTGGAAAGTCCAACTGGCAAAAAGCTATTACAGGTAACTTGGTAATTGCCAAAACAAAACCTTGCTCAATTGCAAGCCATGTTAGAGCAAAATGAGCCTGTGTGCTTCCCCCTGAAACTTCTTTGCCTATAGTCATTTCATTTGGGAAAACAAGTAAAGGGAGATCTGAGGTGTCCTAATGGTTAGCGCATATTGGACTCCGTATCGAGTGGTTTGGGTTAGAGTGAAGGGGTGGACGTCATTGTGTTGTGTTCTTGGGTAAGACACTTTACTCTCACCATGCCTCTCTCCACCCAGGAGTATAAATGGGTTACCAGTGAATTGTGCTGACAAAACTGCTGTGGGGTTACCTGCAATGGACTAGCATCCAGGGGAGTAGCGATACTCCTAGTCACTAGAAGTTCATCGCAGCTTACCATAACCCCCAGCATTTTGTCGCTGGTACCCTTTTATACTCGTGGGTGGAGAGAGGCACTGTGAGAGTTAAATGTCTTGCCCAACACAACACAGTGACCCCGGTCAGCGCTCAAACCCAGACCACTTGATCCGGAGTCCAAGACTCTAACCATTAGGCCACTGTCCTCTCTCGCCCTCCATATAAAGTGAGACTTAAATGGAGCTCCCAGACAATAAGTATAAACAACACGTTGAGTTGGTTAATTTACCATATAAACTCCATTTTGACGATTAACTACAGCATGTTTATAACTGTATTTTTTTTCACCCAGACTTGGTATGTATCGTGATGCCGAGAGACAGCTCAAATCTGCGCTGCGTGATCAAGACATAGTGGATACTTATCTGTATCTCTGTAAAGTGTATAGAAGACTGGATCAGCCCCTAACTGCAACTGAAGTATACAAAAAGGTTTGCCTCTGATTCCTGGCTTAGTCAATGAGTTGTTTGGTATATGTTGTTAGTTCTGGAGCTTTTTTAACTCCAATCCTAAGGTTGAAATACACTTATCAATAATAATTATTATTTATCTATCGTCTTCACACACATTGCGTGCCTATCATTGATGCTAGAATATCTAGCATCTTTGGACGCATTGGACACTTACATGTAGATAATATTATAATAAAGGGTCTTTGCTAGACTACATGTACGAGCAGTCCCTCATTTTTCTTGAGTGGGAGAGAGCGTCGCATCTCCTTGTGGGAGGTGATTCTCGCCCGCGCGCATGCTCTCCCACTCAACTATCCCTGAGAAAAATGAGGGGCTACTCATAGTCTAGGTCTTTGCACGCAATGCTGGCCTATTGATGCTATATTTAATTTAGGGTCTTCACCCGCAATGTGAGCCTATTGACGCCAGATAATTTTTTGTTGGGCTGGAGGCATATCCATCTCATGTAACTTTTTTAGGTTGCCTCTTCACAGAATGAACCGAAAATTCGAACAACATGTAATTAATTAATTTGCTCCCACAAGACTCCTGTAGCTCAGTGGTAGAGTGTCTGCCGGGCCGGTGTGTGGAAGGTCATAGGTTCAACTCCTGTTTGGAGAACTCAGAATTTTTTCTGAGTAGCTTGCGTCACAGACTGAATAATATCTTTCTCTTACTTCTACCAGCTTAAAATACTGTAAATTAAAGCTCTATTTATTCCCCCCCCCCCCCCCCCTCTCTCTAGGGTATAAATGACATTGCATTTGTAAGGCAGTGATACATAACCCATTTCTTGTTCTGTTTTTAGTTAGTGGTGTAGTAGTTTAGTTTGAAAAAATATGTGAATTTCTCTCGAAAATTAATGATTTGAAATAATCCCCCCTCTAATAAGCCCCCCCCCCCTATTCTTGGGCTGAAATTAAATAAGCCCTAATATAACTTTTATGGTATACCATCATTTCTTGACTTTCCATAATTGATTAAATATGGTATTTTCTTTTGTTGGTGTATGACAAAGGATTTACAGAAGAGTTCAGGACACTGTGTGACTTTAAAAGCACTTGATCTAGTAAATTTAGTTTTTAAATAATTAACCGTTTCCCTTTCACCATTTTGTGCAGGCCTTGGAGAAATTTCCTGGAGAGACCAACTCTTCTGACAGGAATGCCTCGCATTCATGAGGTAAAAAATTACCAGTTAAAGTAGTACTAATGTCCCCTAGTCAACAATGATTTTCTTTTTGCTAGTCCAACAGTCTTGTTGTCAATAATGTTTTATACTTGAATCTCGGCGGTGGAAGGATTTAAGCTACTGTTGGTGGGTTACTCGCTGAAACGCTGGGTCCTACTACTGGACCCTAGAAACACTTACCCTTTACCAAAACGCACAAGTTGCGATTTTTGGACCCTATTACCTGCAAAATCTTTATCAAGCTTTTACATTGTAAGCTACCCATCTAGAACTAGAACTTCATCTTTTTAGCAAGCCCCCCACTACAACCCCCCCTCCCCCCCCCCCCCTCTCACCCTTCTCCATCGAACGAGCAGTTCATGCGAGGATTTGTTTATAATTCAGTCTAAACTCCACCAATGGCCACCTCTCTACAACAGACAGGATTTTTTATCCCGACCGAGTGCCGAGCCACACACATTACTCTTTTTGGAAACCCTCTTTTCAGCCACAACAAAATTTTGCTGCGAACAGTGCAAATGGATATGAATGTGTTTCGTATTCTACAATTTTTGGGTTCACTTTTCTTTATTTTGCTTTTTTCTGCCCTTTCCTGGTATTTTCGTTTCGCTTTTTCTTTTAGCTGTTAAATAACATTTTGGTTCGAAAAGTAAACGGCTGCAGGCAGCCATTTTATTTGCTATTTCGAACCAAATGTTATGTAACAGCTAAAAGAAAAAGCGAAACGAAAATACAGGAAAGGGCAGAAAAAGCAAAATAAAGAAAAGTGAACCCAAAAATTGTAGAATACGAAACACATTCATATCCATTTGCACTGTTCGCAGCAAAATTTTGTTGTGGCTGAAAAGAGGGTTTCCAAAAAGAGTAATGTGTGTGGCTCGGCACTCGGTCGGGATAAAAAATCCTGTCTGTTGTAGAGAGGTGGCCATTGGTGGAGTTTAGACTGAATTATAAACAAATCCTCGCATGAACTGCTCGTTCGATGGAGAAGGGTGAGAGGGGGGGGGGGGGAGGGGGGGTTGTAGTGGGGGGCTTGCTAAAAAGATGAAGTTCTAGTTCTAGATGGGGAGCTTACATGTAAAAGCTTGATAAAGCTTTTGCGGTAATAGGGTTCAAAAATCGCAACTTGTGGTTCTGGTAAAGGGTAAGTGTTTCTAGGGTCCAGTAGTAGACCCAGGTTTCAGCGAGTAACCCACCAACAGTGTTAAATCCTTCCACCGCCGAGATTTCAGTATAAACATTATTGACAACAAGACTGTTGACTAGCATAAGAAAATCATTGTTGACTAGGGGACATTAGTACTACTTTAACTGGTAATTTTTACCTCATGAATGCGAGCAATTCCTGTCAGAAGAGTTGTCTCTCCAGGAAATTTCTCCAAGGCCTGCAAAAATGAAAGGAAAGGTTAATTATTTAAAATAATTTACTGATCAAGTGCTTTTAAAGTTCACACAGTGTCCTGAACTCTTCTGTAAATCCTTTGTCATACACCAACAAAAGAAAATACCATATTTAATCAATTATGGAAAGTCAAGAAATGATGGTATACCATAAAAGTTATATTAGGGCTTATTTAATTTCAGCCCCAAGAATAGGGGGGGGGGGCTTATTAGAGGGGGGGATTATTTCAAATCATTAATTTTCGAGAGAAAATTCACATTATTTTTTCAAACTAAACTACTACACCACTAACTAAAAACAGAACAAGAAATGGGTTATGTATCACTGCCTTACAAATGCAATGTCATTTATACCCTAGAGAGAGGGGGGGGGGGGGGGGGAATAAATAGAGCTTTAATTTACAGTATTTTAAGCTTGGTAGAAGTAAGAGAAAGATATTATTCAGTCTGTGACGCAAGCTACTCAGAAAAAAATTCTGAGTTCTCCAAACAGGAGTTGAACCTATGACCTTCCACACACCGGCCCGGCAGACACTCTACCACTGAGCTACAGGAGTCTTGTGGGAGCAAATTAATTAATTACATGTTGTTCGAATTTTCGGTTCATTCTGTGAAGAGGCAACCTAAAAAAGTTACATGAGATGGATATGCCTCCAGCCCAACAAAAAATTATCTGGCGTCAATAGGCTCACATTGCGGGTGAAGACCCTAAATTAAATATAGCATCAATAGGCCAGCATTGCGTGCAAAGACCTAGACTATGAGTAGCCCCTCATTTTTCTCAGGGATAGTTGAGTGGGAGAGCATGCAGCGCGGGCGAGAATCACCTCCCACAAGGAGATGCGACGCTCTCTCCCACTCAAGAAAAATGAGGGGACTGCTCGTACATGTAGTCTAGCAAAGACCCTTTATTATAATATTATCTACATGTAGTGTCCAATGCGTCCAAAGATGCTAGATATTCTAGCATCAATGATAGGCACGCAATGTGTGTGAAGACGATAGATAAATAATAATTATTATTGATAAGTGTATTTCAACCTTAGGATTGGAGTTAAAAAGCTCCAGAACTAACAACATATACCAAACAACTCATTGACTAAGCCAGGATCAGAGGCAAACCTTTTTGTATACTTCAGTTGCAGTAGGGGCTGATCCAGTCTTCTATACACTTACAGAGATACAGATAAGTATCCCACTATGTCTTGATCACGCAGCGCAGATTTGAGCTGTCTCTCGGCATCACGATACATACCAAGTCTGGGTGAAAAAAAATACAGTTATAAACATGCTGTAGTTAATCGTCAAAATGGAGTTTATATGGTAAATTAACCAACTCAACGTGTTGTTTATACTTATTGTCTGGGAGCTCCATTTAAGTCTCACTTTATATGGAGGGCGAGAGAGACAGTGGCCTAATGGTTAGAGTCTTGGACTCCGGATCAAGTGGTCTGGGTTTGAGCGCTGACCGGGGTCACTGTGTTGTGTTGGGCAAGACATTTAACTCTCACAGTGCCTCTCTCCACCCACGAGTATAAAAGGGTACCAGCGACAAAATGCTGGGGGTTATGGTAAGCTGCGATGAACTTCTAGTGACTAGGAGTATCGCTACTCCCCTGGATGCTAGTCCATTGCAGGTAACCCCACAGCAGTTTTGTCAGCACAATTCACTGGTACCCATTTATACTCCTGGGTGGAGAGAGGCATGGTGAGAGTAAAGTGTCTTACCCAAGAACACAAACACAATGACGTCCACCCCTTCACTCTAACCCAAACCACTCGATACGGAGTCCAATATGCGCTAACCATTAGGACACCTCAGATCTCCCTTTACTTGTTTCCCAAATGAAAATGACTATAGGCAAAGAAGTTTCAGGGGAAGCACACAGGCTCATTTTGCTCTAACATGGCTTGCAATTGAGCAAGGTTTTGTTTTGCAATTACCAAGTTACCTGTAATAGCTTTTTGCCAGTTGGACTTTCCACCACAGTCTTTAAACTGACATTCTTCAGTCGCTTTTGCTGCAAGCTCTAATGCCTACAATAAACAATAAATTTATACCTTACTTCCCAAGTGAAGCTGTCCTTAATAAGTTGGCCAGAAAAAACTACAATAATAAGGGGCCCTACCCCAAAAATAAGCCCACCTAATCTCAAGAGCAAAAAATCCTTCCGATAATAACGAGATACAATAATAATAATATCTAGAAAGACTTTTTTATTTTTATGTTTTATGTTTTGTATTTTTATGTTGTTACAGTATGTTATCAGAGACTTGTGATATTCATTTGATGACTGTATTACATGTACTAATGATTTGTGTTTCATTTGTAAAATGTTTGGAGAGTTTTACTATTGCGGTATTCTTGCATGCACCTAAGATGAGACTCTGTATGGGGCGCGGTGATAGGAGGGTACTGATGTAAGGTTGACGAGTGTGGGCGTAGTAGGGGACAGGTTGGTATAGGAGGGAGGGTAGGGGAAGGTG